TTGCCTACCAAGAAATCCGTTTTCAAAGCGAAGTGCCCATGGTGGATCACCACCATTCAATTGTTTTACAATGTTTATGGCCATCGCATGATGTTTGGAGGCATAAGGCCACAAAGAAAGAGGCATGTTGGCCTGGAGGAGGTTGGAGCGCGCCCCTTCCAAAATGGTGCGGACTTCACGCTCAACAACCGCTTTGGTGGAATGTTGATATTCAACAGAAATCTGGTGCTTGAAACCAAGTTCTTCTATGGCATCCAGCATTTCTGGAGCGTTGTCGGTATACACTATGCCAACAATATCAGAAGTCTTCAGAAAATGTTTAAAAGCTTTCACAATGGAATCGGCTGTTTTGCTTTCTGAAGGATAAACACATCTGTATTGAGTATAAACATCTTTGATCACCAACATTGACGTTTGGCCTTCTATCCCTTCTTCAATATCCTTGGGAATAACATGGTCGCACACTATGTGGTCGCCAAACCCACGCGCCAAAACATGTTGTGATCCGCCTACGCTTCTACCGTAGGGAGCAAGCATTTTAGCTTCGCTACAAACATCGCAGTAGGGATTCTTTGGTCGATGTGTGAATTGATGCGCCCCTGATTTTGCTTCCTTTCGAAGTTGCTCTTCGGTCTTCTCCCCTGCTACGGGAACGTCTTCAAAATCAAAAGGAACCTCAACTTCTGGGTCACTGTCCTCTTCGTCCTCCTGTCCATCATCGGCATTGGCATCTACGCCAGCTTCGTCAGCCTCCTCTTGGTCTTCCTCGGGTTCGGACTCATGGCTGGCCATGGCGTAGCCCTGGTCGATGGTGAACTGGTGGATGGAATCGAGTACCTTAGTAAGGCGAGTCCTCAGTGATTCAGGAATTGAGAATGGGGTACATGTTTCATCAATATATGGAACCCTACCTTGCAATTTGAATTTAACGCATTGTCCATCAGGTCGAAGAAATATGGGAGTAGTGTCCTTTCCCCAAACAAAATCATATCCCTGTTCTAAGCACCTCAAACCAATTGAAAGTGCAGAGGGAGTACTTTGGAGAATGTAGGGGTTGAAGGATTCACATAACCCTGGCAAGATCACCTCTACTACTTCGTCAGCAGTGATAGGTCCATTGGCAGTAGTAAGGGAGATTGGTTCGTTGGATTTGAATATCTTGGTGGCCCTGTTGACTGTCTTAGAGTCCTTACCTACGATGTCCTGGTCAGTGCCAGTGTCACCCAGCCACTTCTCCATACCAACCATGTTTGGCATCGCTGTTAAGCGAGCACATGACGGCACCTGTTCTCCGACGACTGTTCTGCACTTCGTGCAGCACAAATCATCGGGGCCTTCTGGGGAATGTTCACAAAGGAAATCACACGCAGGCTCCTCGGTATCCATCGAAACGAGCATCTGCCTAAGTGACTCCGCTGCCAAAATGGCGTCCTTAGTGTCACACTCGCGGGACTTTGGGCATTCCTCAGTGGTCCGGAACAGGTTCCGCTTCTTGCTCTTATTCACTACATGCCGGTACATTTCCTTCCAAACAGGAAAGGTGTGTACCTCCGGTTCTAATTCAAAACGAATTCTCTTCTCTTGCACAACACGGAAAATTGACTTTCCAGTCCAATCAAATTTCTGTTTCGCGTTTGGGTGTTTCTTCCAATTACCCTTGATTGTCCTACTCTTTCCCTTTGAGTCAGTGACTACCATGGTAAACTGGTCTTCCAACCTAGATGACTCAACTGGACAGGATTTACGTGTTGGGAGAAACGACCTGTGCCTAGGCTTCAAATGGTGCCTAATCAACTCATTGCCATCTTTGGAGAATCCCCAGTAGTCTTTACTCTTTTGGGTCCGAGTTGCGGTTGCTGCTAAGCAAGACATTGCGAAACCTGTTTGAATACATGGACTGGCCTTTGGACTTTTGTCCTTCTTTTCCCGTTTGCTCTTTTTGTCCTTTTTGTCCTTCTTGGGTTTCTTGTCCTTAGACCTTTTAGCTGCGGGCGAGGGACTCCTTCTGCGCGGGGCTGGTGTTGCAGTGTCTCCGTGTTTAAACGGGCATTTGTCACCCCTTTTGCAGTTACCCTTTGCAAAGAACCTGCATGGCTTGTCAGATTTCCTCCCTCTACTGGAGCTTCTTGATGAGTTCCTTGAACTGGAGCGGGAAGTGTGTCTTGACGAACTTCGAGATCGGCTTGACCTGAACGATGAACGGCTGCTCGGACTTGCGCTACGCGAACGAGACGACTCCCGACTAAGGGAGCGGGGACGGGCGCTAGAGTCGTGTGAGTACTTGCATTTGCTCCCGTACTTACACTTACCAGTTTTGGCATACTCATAGCATTGATTGCTTCCGTCACCCTTTGTGCTTCGTTTGCCATAACTTGGGCTTCGCGTGCGCTTGTCGTGCGGTGCCGGGTTTGCGAACTTTGCCGCGTGTGATTGTGATATCTTTTCGCGATTGGTCCTGAGCCTTTCCCTGTCAAGGTAACGTCGAACAGAATTGATAAGAAATTCATAGCTTCTGTCGTTACTTCCCTCCGGCGCTCGTTCATAAACATCAAGGTCAAATCTGAGCTTGCGGGACTTCCTAACCTCTCTATAAAACAAATCCTTGAGAGTTGCCGGGTCTGGGACATGACTCATTCCGGTCAGAACACTCTCCCATTTTCTTAGAAAGGATTTCAAGTCGTCGCTATCAAGCGAGATCTTGAGGAGGTCCTCAGTGCCATACAGTGCACCCGCTTCTTCACTGGTCTTGAAGTGGACTTCAAACATGAGCAACACCTGACGACCACGGACGATCCTACCTTGCTGTGCCTCAGATTCCTTATAATTAAGGATCTGCTGAGACAGTTCACCTTTGGCAACCTTAGTTAAAGCAGCAAGTAGTTTCGTGTCTAAGGTCCGAAACTTGCCTGGGTCAGCCAATTCGGAACAAAGCTTGGCTTTGTCTTCACGAACAGCGTACACCTCAAGCACCCATGCGAACGCAGCGTCTGGGTCATCGGACGCGGACCGTATCGCTTCGCGAACAGCGGCCCTCCAAGTGCGGTACCTATCAGGACTTGGGAATTCGGGAAGATCTATCTTATCAGCCTCCTTTGCCTTGGGTTTGTCAGAGTCTTTGCTCTTAGCGCCCTTAAACCCTTCTAGCAAGGCCTTCTTGATGATTTCCCCCAAATCTTGGTCTTGTGGACTTCTTACCTGAGAAGCCGGCCCTTCGTCCTTGCGATCATCCTTAGTCTTTGTTGCTTCCTGATTAAAGGAGCTTTTGTACAAAGGATCATCACTGAAGTTATATTGTGCTGACTTCTTCATGTACTCCGTCCACGGATCCGGTTGTTTGAATTGTTGCCTGTCCGTAGAGGCCGTTGCCTGTTCCGCTGCGGGCGCCCCTGTCCCTGAGAACATTGATGGGAATCCAGTGTTGCGCGTGGACGCTGTTGCATCCATAGCCGTCTTTATAGGGGATCCGCCTTCCTCACGGGGCTTACCGTCTAAGGCTGCTGGAACAGTGCCTTCCGTGCGTAGAGGTTCAAAAGATCGCGGTTGACCAATTGGGTGAGCGTCTTGTCGAGCAGAAGGTGTAAGTGGCTCAGGATATTGCGGCCCTGGCTTAACGGGGCTAGAGGATTGCGCCTTGCGCTCCGCTTCCTTGCGTTCCTCTTCCCTGTCTGTCAAGGACTGTACAACACGTCTGAGCTCGTCCATTTCACCCTTCAACATTGCATTGTCCTTGCGAAGCTCAACTATAGTTTGCTCTTGCGTTTCCCGATCAACCTTATATTGCTTATTTGTTGTCTCCATCTCATTGACAAGAGTTTTGATCTTTGCCTGTGCAATTGCTAACGAACTGTCCAGTTGTTCTCGCTTGAAGTCAAGCTCTATGGCGATCCGGGATTCTTCAGCAGACGAATGTCTTGCCTGATCCTTTGCCTCTAGAGCTGCCTTCAGCTTAGCCTCCTGTTGCTCAACATACTGGTGATGTTCAGTTCTCATTTTGTCAACAAAAGCATTGCCTTCTTCCGCCATGGCATTCTTTTCCTGTACAACTTTCTCATGAGCTGCTGTCGCCTGAGCTAGCCGCTGCTGAAAATGTTCCCTTTGCTCCTCCAATGTACCTTGCAACCGTTTGATTGCAACATTGTCTTGCTGTTGGACCATTTGCTGAACACTTTGTTCCTGCTGTTGGGCCCTTTGTTGAACATTCAACATTGCCTGCTCTGCGGCAGCCTTTGTTGCCGCTATAGATTCGGAAGCTTCTCTTTCGTAAATACTCCTGAAGCGCAATGCCTCGATTTCAGCTTCCCTCCTGGCTTGTTCGCTGAGCAAAAACTCATGTTGTTGTAACTCCCGTCGTAGTTCTTCGTCGTTTGGCGTTGCATTCAGGTTGACGACGTTGAGCCGAGTCATTGCCAACAAGTTGTTTACTGTTGGCGCACCAGCTACGGTGGCTGACGGCATACCTGCTAGGGTAGCTTGTGTCGCCTCTTGAAGAGTAACACTACCACCACTATTTAGCATCTCTTGGTACACCTCCGAAGCAACCCTTGGATCCATTGCAGCCACTTGTGCAACCGCTTGTTCATGCCGTTGAACTGCATCCAAACTATTGGGCACACTCGGAACTATGTCAAAGCCACTTCCGTAGGAGTTTGGTGGGACGTCGTCATCCATCGGGTCCATAGCTCTAATCTAGCTAGCCTACGGCTGATAACCTGTATTTTACAGGATCAGCACTAATAGTACTAACTACCTAGCTAACCCTGCTAGTCCGGTAAGCGCTACCTTTTGCTCTACCTTGAGAGTCAACGCTACGGGGTCCATGGGGATGAGGTGAATTTCAACACAAACAAAACACCTAGTAAACCGCAAACCCAATGACTCCATTATATCCGCACAAGGGATTGATTGTTCCCATTGTGGGTTGCTTGGACAAACGACTCCGACACCCTGGTCGTGCCGCCGCAGGGTCTCGTCGCTTCATTTCGACGTGCAGTGCCTTCCGGTCAAACTGCCCCGGGAGGGTGGCGCCGTCCAGCCTGGGCGGCACCGAGGAAGATCTGCCTGAGGAAGTTCCACATGTGGGTCCTGTGGAAAACCAATCAAGGTTTAAAGTTATCCGATGTTTTTTGAATGCCTATTGAACCGTATTAACCGTATGGTGAAATGAATTGAAAGGGATCCTGGATCTTCGCAACAGGGAGGGCTCCATTGACCAGACTGGAGGAGAGTGTCCTGTCAACACAATCATTGAATCATTGCTTGGTTTCAGTGGTCGACCATCCTCCATCCTCTCTGTGCTTGGTCCTCTTGGTCCTTTAGAAAGGACAATGAATAGATCAATCCCCCGCTCCCTGAACTCACCCACCCACCCCCTTGCGGGGTGGTCAAATGTGGTTAGGACATGTGTTGCCAGATCAGATCGGGCAGGAAGTTCACCTGTTGGGTGTGGGGGCCCTGTTGGTTCACATAGATGGCAGAGCGCCGGTTGGGTTCATAAGTGCTTGGGGGCCCGTCAGATTCAAGAAGCCACGTGATGGTGATTTCCTTGATGGTGATGGAAGATGATGAAAGTAAGTGGAAGGAAGTCAGGCAATTTGTGTTGCTAAGCAAAGGATGCATTTTCCATTGGAACCCTGATTCTACGGATGGCCAGCAAATTAATGCCAGCAGAATGTGTTGGGGGTTCAGATTCTCTTGCACTGTGGTTGGCTTCCCATGTGTTCTATGATTAAAGTTTAAGATTCAGATTCCATGGATGATTCTCTATAAAATCAAGACACATGGATAATTCTCTATCAAATGGTCTCTATAGAATCAAGCTACCCAGGGTTACATTCTTCGAGTATAAGAGCAATCATCAAAATCCACTCCTCTCTATGAAATCCATGCACCCAGCAGGGTTCACTTTGACCAAAAACAGTGGTTTCTATAGAATACCCTTTATAGAACACCGGATCCCCGAGGGTCCATGGTTTAATTTTAGAGGACATTCACACAGCTATATGAATCTATGGATAATCTATGAATGGTCGACCCTTCAAACATGGATCGATGACTTGGACATGGTTTCACACGGTTCCATAATGGAAACTCTAGCTAGAAACTGACTGTGAAGTCACCACTTTGGGATGTCCGACCTGGTGTGTTAGGCGGGAATGCTGCAGTTGTCCACATGCATAGGAAGTGTCTAGGTATGGATCCAGCGATGACGATGCTCTAAAGCTCGGCTCGAGCGCCACCAGGCGCGGCGGGCACCCGTGCCCAAGGCCCTTGAGGAGTTCGGAGTAGAACTGCGGCTCAATGGCCTGCAGAAGTTAGGCCACACAGCAGGGGCATCCATTCCGGATCATTCCGGCCCGAACAAGACGATATTCTAGGCAATGAGTGGAGTCAGGCAAAACATCAATCAAGAAATCGGCCGTGGGTATATGACAGCGGCTTCAAGAAAAGGAACAACTGAAACCCGTCCATTTGTAGCTGCGATGCAGTGCATAGAAGCATTCGTCGTTCCCAAACCCCAGTCTGCACCCCACGGCAACCCCTTGGGGTTCGCTTTGCCATGCTTCGCCCTGCTTGACCCGAGTGACACGCACCACTGGACCCGACCGTCGACCGGATCTCGCCAATGACTGGTGACCCGGGCTCGAGAGCCTGAACACTCATGTACTGCCGAGTGCCAGGTTTCGCCTCGGCCGAAGGTCGCTGCTTTCACACACTCTTTCACATGCAGGATAAACGTCGCACGCACCCGGTGTGAGGCTCCTACAGCTGCAGTAGTTGGAAGACCATCCAAGAAACCCAGTGGACCAAAGCCCTCCAAGCAGTTGTCCCATTGGCTCAGAGGCCCGCCGGATCCTCCTGGCACAGGTAGACGTCTGACCAGTGAGGGGCCTGACCTGAGGTGGCGTCAAAGCGCGCTGCAGCGATCCCAGGGCAATCCGATCAGTGTCGTTGAATGGACTTCCAAAGGACACGATCCAGGGATCTCCACGGGACACCCATTGGATGGTCCTCATATCCGGGATCTTTAGCCTGTATATGTGTACAAGAGTTACAAGAGTTTCAATGAAATTGCTTCTTCCAACTTGCCACTCTCCCACATGGCCCCACATGGAATCATGGAAAGATCCATCCCTGCCTGCCTTCCATGAAACATGGTGCAACCGCATGGTGCAACCGCATGGTGCAACATGGGCAAGTCGGTGGCCCTCCGTCCAAGCAGCACAAGACAAAGTCGGAGGCCACCATATGGCCATCCGGTCCGACCTCACCAGCGACCAGTTCGATCCCTTGGAACTATGCAAGACACGACAAATGACATGGACTATTGCAAGGCTCTTTGAACTCAGCTTGATTCAACATGTATCGGATAACAGCCCAAACCCTGTCTTCATCAATAGCTGGGTACGGGCTATGGGGTCAAAACTCCCTCCGCATGACCCACGAATAGTTGTGCACAACTCCTTGCACCCTTCAGCATGCTACCAGTACTGGGGTACTGGAGTGTCAATGGGGCACATCAATGCAGGTGGTTGGGAGCAGCAAACAGATCCACGCAAGTCTGTGGTATAGTGATCTCGAAGTCTGTGTCAAACAATCGACACATCTATAAATGGAAGATCTGCAGTTGGAACCGGATGATGACTTGGACACACAAAGTCAGTGGGCATGGTTCGATCAGGGTAGAATGAAAGCGAACAACATGAACAGAATACTCCTCTATCAAGGGGGTCTAGTTTTTGCTGGGTCAGAAACTGTTGTACACGTGGGCGTGGCACTTGTTTTGGTCTATCAATCACGGCCACTAAGCAATATAAGCACCCGGCAGGAACCAAGCCAGTCTCCCTCCACTTGAAAAGGGGCAGCGCCTGCCAGTTGGCTCCCCTCCGGACTCTGGGAATCACGCGAAAGCTGCGTTTCGTTTGGAACATAGGGCAAGCGTTCCCAATAAAATATTACAACCGTGGCACCCCCAAATGGATGCTTTACTGTGGATTACAACCATTCAGTTGTTAGTGCTTTTTGGTTAGATCAGGTAACCCAGACTGTCTTGCAACAACAGGTTCTATTGAAAAAAAAAACTTGCCATGCATGTGGCTCGGTTCATACGATCATCACTGTGACATGGTATGGAACAAAAGTTCACAATCCAAAATATCGCTTGGTGGAAGATTCGATGCGGGTTGAGTGCCTATAATTTAACAATGTCGTAAACCATGGTTTGGTTGGTGGATATAGAATAGCATGAATCCTCAAAAAAAAAACTATCTATATATACATGTTCTTTTAACATCAGTTCTGCCACTCTGATCCGTCATAGTTAAGAGTCCATTTCACTTCTGTCTTCCCACCGCGGCGCTTCATCGCGCCGTGTAGTTGGCGCCGTCCACCATGGCCGCGTCGATTACTTGGCCCTGGCCGCTGCGGTGCCGTTCCAGCAGCGCCTGGAAGCCGACAGGAGGTGAGTCGCGACCCGTGGGGTCAGCCTTTCCGGATTGCAAATAGAGCCAGGAAAAAGAAACACTGTGAAGAAAATAGATTCTTGGGAATTGTAAGCATGAAATGGATCATTAACCACACGCGTCAAGATATGTTATGTATTATTATGTCATTAAAGGAACACACATTGAATTTAAACTCATTAAATCAGTGTCTTCATTGAGAAAGGACAGTATGAGTAAAATAATAAGCCATTTTTTGCAAAAACTTGCTGTCCAAACCATTGTTCCACCTTGCTGATCCTGCTATTCAACTGTTGTTCCTCCTCAGCCGTTACGTCCTCAAACGGTTCCTCACTTGGGGAAGCTGACCTTGAACCATTCCTCCTCGCTGATCCTGGCCTCAAAGAGGGACCTCAAAAGATGGTCTTAGAGTTGTAAATGGCCTTGAGGCCTTGAGGAGTCCACACTTGGGAAATCAAACCTCCAACATTGTTTCTTCTTGAGGAACCTGACCTTCAACCAATGCTTCTGCTTGGGCATCCTGGCTTTAAGCCGCTCTTTCCTTGCAAAGTCCTGCTTCTTTTAACTATTTCCTTGGAGGTCGTAGTTTCAAAGCACTGTAAATCCTCGCTAATGCTGACTTTGGATAACGTTCCTTTCCTATAAAGATTTCAATGCATTTCTGGATAGGACTTGCTTCGACTCCTGTTTATATATATATATAGATGTATATAGTATATTCTCAGTGTATAGTTAGTTATATATGCAGTATATATCCACGACTAAGGAAGGCGTACAGCTGCATGAAAAAACAACATGGAACAATGGAACCAATCGAAATTGGATCCAAAAGATCGCTCTCTTCCCCGCTGGACGCCCCATCGCACCAGAAGGACCCCCATCGCCAGCATCATGCCACCGCCAGCCTCGGTCCGTCCGGCCGCTTTGGGCGACTTTGGGATGACCGGAGACGACCGGAACTCTGCCGGAGAGATGCACGGAGTCTGCTTCCGTGTGGATCCAGAATGGCAGTTAGACCCTTTTAAAGCCACCTATATCCCCGAACACCTTCTCAGAAGTTGAAATCCAGGATCTAGGTGTTGAATGCGTCTCAGGCGCATAATCACCAGCGAAGTTGGCAGGTGGGAAGGGCTTCTCATCGCCGCGCCGAAAGAAATCCAGAAGGCCTGATGTTTGGGCAGCGTGTGCCCCGGCTGTCACGGCGGGCCGCATAAGTCACACTATGACCGTCCTTTTGGGGTGTCCAGGACTCCAGCTCCTGGTTGGTCAGAACGAGCTCCTGAGGTCCGACCTGAGAGTTGCAAACCTTTAGACCTGGGCTGCGGAAAACCATCCATCTGGGCTGCGGTCTCCGACGTCTCCGTCTTCCCCCCAAGCTGACTGCCGTGTTCATCCACCCTGTTGACGGCCGGCCGGGCCCGGCCTGACAAAGCGATGTAGTTGTTGTCGTGTCCGGCCATGTTGCTGAAGTCGGTTCCGCCCTGTCCGTATCCTGCCACAAATTCTAACATGGTTGGCCTCAAACTTGATGACTGAAATCACCTCATGCAACATAATGCAGCCCCAAACCATGGATCAGTTAAATCAAGGAAATATGAGATAGCAACGGCAAAGATTTGGTGTGAAGGCATGCCCGTCTAAAAGTTGCTCAACCATGCTTATACAAAGCATTTGTGCATATATAAATATGTATTCTCTCAGCCTGTCTGTCCCTCTCTTTCTCTCTCGGTTGCGTCAGGAAAATCCTGTCATACGGCCATAGATCAATCTTGGATTCAGGCTGCAAAGAACCTCGGAACCGCAAGCTGCGAAAGGTTTCAAGGCTCACCAAAGCAATCATGAAGGTCAAAGAAAAACATCATGTCTGGAAAAGGTTGGCACATTGATAAGTCTTGCGGCACAATCGATCAGTTGGCATGCGACGTTGACAGTTCTGTATAGGAGGTTCAGGTGTAGCTTAGCAACTGAGAAACACAGTTATGCAGACTTTATCCAAACATGTAACATGCTTGTCAATTTCAACACGTGTAACCATCTGTGTGCTTCAGTTTGGCACTCAACTGAAGGTGCTGTTTATTGTTGTTGTATTGGAATCAAGATATGCCCCATTTTCCAGGTCAAGTCATTTCTGTTTGGTGGTTGAAAACCATCCCAACAACTTGTAGTCGAATGATGTCCAATGGACCAATTCAGGACATTTGCTCTCACATGATCTTACTTAGGGATGGACCGAAGCCAACATAACCACCATGGACCAACTCCTTCTGGTGTGTGGACCCTGGGAATGGAACTATACACAGAGACCAGCGCGACGCTTCCGGAGGGTTCCCCCGAACGGCGCCTCTGGGCCGATGCCAAGCTTCTCGACCACCTTGGAGGCTGGAATCCATGTGACACAGGTCGACTTTGGGTCTTGTCTTGGTGGATTCACCAGTCTATTGGTTTCATTGTTCATCTGGCTGTGAAGTTTCAGTCAGGTTGAGACCCACTAAGTTAAGCCCACTAAGTTCATTTGGCTTGGATACTTTCTAAATCAGCTAGGCTGCACCAAGACTTGAACCACTATAACTCAAACCCAACGACGAGAAGAAACACCACTGCCACAAGTGTGTATACATATATATATATATATACATGCATATATATATATATAATTATGTAGCATAATATAATGTAACATAATATAATACCCAAAAAAACAATAAATATGTAATATATAATGAAATATAATGAGGCAAACAAAAACTACAAGGTTTCCCTATGTGTCCATCGTCCCTCCCCACGAATCTCAGGTGAGCGCCCCGGGGCGAAAAGGCTCCAGGAAGACATCCACTTGGGCTGCCAAACGGCTCAGGACCTGTCATGGCCAGGCAAACGTGTGGAAAGACCCCAAAACCTGAAGCCATTCGAGCTGCCCTATCGGTAATAAGGACTTCATCTTTCTTTGGTCTTTGAGGGCGCTCGAGGGTGGAGGGCCTTGACACAGTGTCGATCTCGTGAGGTAAACAAAGGAACATCTAACATGTATACATAGTATCTATGATTATACAAATATTTTTACATGATATTGTTACTTAATAGATGTTGTTATTTTTTGCAGATCTCGAACTTGTCAGATCTCTAGACTATATGACTGTATCTTGAAAGCCAAGGTGGATCAACCAGAACCCCTCTGCACGGGGGATCCACCATGCAGCTCTTGGCTCCTTGGTCGGTTGGCTCGCCAGGATTTCGAGCTTCCAGTATTTATGAGGCTTACGCCTGACAGCCGGCGCCGGCCTTGGGTATGTGCAGGGCTGGGTCCTCTCTCTCTCTCTCTGTCTCTGTCCCTCCCTCCCTCCCTCCCTCCCTCTCTCTCTCTCTCTCTCTCTCTGAGACTTGGTGGGGCCTGTATTGAGCAAAGTTAAGCTATCTGGTGCGCATCTTGGCCCTAGGTTGGGCCAAGTTGAGCCCATGTGGTCTATGTTGGGCACGTCTTGGGCCCAAGTTGAGCCTATGTTGGGCCTAGGTCGGCCTATGTTGGCCTAGGTTGGGCCTATGTTGGGCCTATGTTGGCGTATGTTGGCCCCATGTTGGCTTATGTTGGCCCTATGTTGAGCCATCTTGGAGGCTATGTTGGGCATATGTTGGCTATCTTGGGCCTATGTTGGGGATATGTTAGACAACTTATGTGCCCAACACCCACGAAATGTCGATTAAGCCTGTCCGCGCGGCACGCATAACCGACACCACGGGCGCCCTGTTAGGCGAAAGTCGTGGACGCCGAAGGCCACGGAACACTGTAAAACACGATGTGTTTGAACATTTTTGGAAAGATACATATAACTCTGTCGACCGGATTCGGGCGGGGGTCGGGCGGAGGTATCCCCGCGGTCCAACAAAAGGGTCGGCGGCAGGGGCGGCGAGCGTATATCCGGCCAGGGGCCCAAGGGGCCCCGCCATGGCCGTGTCATTGCCGTAGGCATCTCTCCTCTCCGAAGGAGAGAGTGGAGTCCCGCCCCTACCGCCGACCCCACAGGAATCGTGTGTTTTACAGTGTTTTCTGCTTCTTCAACTTTTTCGCTCTTGGGGCTCAAGATGGGTCAACATGGCTCAACATAGGCCCAACATAGGCCCAAAAAATGCTGGAAATGCGTGCCTCACCGGGGTTCTTCGTCTGCATTGTGGGCGGGCGCTGGGGCAACAACAAGACCACCATCCCCACCACCACCCCCACAACACCCACGTCCACATCCACAACCACCAACACCACAACCACAAGAACGACAAGAACAGAGCAACAACAACAACAACAACAACAACAAGAACAACAACCCCAACCACAACAACCACATTACAACAACAATCGCGACATCATCCACAACAACGACAACAAGAACAACCACAACAACAACAACAACAACAACAACCCCAACCCCAACAACCCCAACAACCCCAACAACAACAACAACAACAACAACAGCTACAACAACAACAACAACTACTACTACTACTACTACTACCACTACTACTACTACTACTACTACTACTACTACTACTACTACTACTAC